TTAGGGACTGTGTTTGGATTCAGTCTCAATTCATGTCCATTTTTGTCTGGCACTCAGCTGATCATCTTTTATGAAACAGAACACAGCCCTTGTTGATTCTCTGTGAAAGAGTGACACTGGGATTACCTCTGTTTGCGGTTTTAATTTTATTATAAGGGCTTAAGGCTTCATTCTGCAAGTATCTCAGCTTTAGGTAGTTACTGGGACTTTCTTGTGTCTCTTTCCCTCTGTGTCACCCTTCTGTTTGTTCTAATTGCTGTCGTTGCTTCTTGTTACATTGTAGAGTTTGTTTTCTTTCCCATACTGCTTCAGAATCTATAATAATAATTTTAAAAATTACTCAAACAATAGTAATAGTAAGAACATATTCCAGACTGTTCTAATATTTTATGTGTATTCTCTCACTTAATTCTTAAAACAACCTCATGAGTGTAGGTGCTGTTATCTTTATTTTAACCTGAATTACAGCGAGGTGAGCTTCGTTGCCCAGGGCTGCTTAATTAGGGGAGGAATTGAGATTTAAGATGATAAACCACTACATTAAACCTCTTCTCTCTCGCTGAGCTGTTCTCTCTGTTATTCAGACAGAAATTTCTGACTAAAGGGCAGCTTTTCTTTTTTTTTTTAATGGCTGCGCTGTGCATCTTATGGGAGTTTAGTTTCCTAATCAGGGACTGAACCCAGGGCCCAGACAGATAGAGCGCTGAGTCCTAACCAGTGGACCACCAGGGAAGTCCCTAAAGGGCAGGCAGTTTTTCGCGTGCTTGTGGCAATTGACATTTTATTCCTATAAAATTTAATCTTCTGTGTTTCAGCTCCTAATAAAAATTTATTAATATTTGAGTATTCCTGTTTCATCCAAAAACATTTATTGACTGCTTACTCTGAGAGCATGGAGTTAGGAGCATCTTTGTCTGTCTGGGTGAGTTTGCAAAGTCTTCACAAAGATTATAATTTTTGATCCTTGAAGAATATATTATTTCAAAACCAAAAGAAAAAGAAGCCATCTTGAATGTGGAAAGATTAGCAAGTTCAATTTCTTGGAGGTGAGAGACAGAGCACCTTTGAGAAACTGCAAGTAAGTCCATTTAACTAGAAATGTAGATTTTTATCTGAAAGCAGTGGGAAACGTTGCAGACTTTTTAAAGTTAGTAGATCTTGTTTCTTGAATTGCTTTAGATTTACAGCAAAATTGAGCAGAAGATACAGAGATTTCCCTATTATCCCATTCCCCTATATTTACATAGCTTTTCCCATTATCAAATCCTTACCAGAGTGGTACGTTTGTTACAGTTGTACCTACATTGACACATCATTATCATTCAAACTTTAATTTTACAGTCGGGTTCACTCTTTTTCTTTCTAAAAATTTTATTGAAATACAATTGATTTACAGTGTTGTGTTAGTTTTAGGTGTACAGCAAAGCGATTCAGTTATATGTATGTGTGTTTATACACACACACCTTTTTTCATTATAGATTATTATAAGATATTGAATATATTTCCCTGTGCTATATACTAGGTCCTCGTTGGTTCTCTACTGCATGTGTAATAGTGTGTATATTTTAATTCCAAACTCCTAATTTATTCCTACCCTAGGGTTCACTCTTGATACTGTGATATTGTACGTTCTGTGAATTTGGACAAATGTATAAGGACATATATCTACCATTATAGCATCATACAGAAAAGTTTCACTCTTCCTGAAATAATTCTGTGTTCTCCTGTTTATCCTTTCCTCCCTCCTAACTGCTGGCAACCACTGATCTTTTTACTGTCTCCAAAGTTTTGCCTTTTTTTAGTTGGAATCATACAGTGGGTAGCCTTTGCACACTGACTTCTTTCACTTAATAGCATTATTATGAATTTGTTTTCTCCCATATCTTTTTGTGGTTTGATAGCTCATTTCATTTCAGCACTGAATAATTTTCCTTCATCTGGATGTACCACAGTTTATATGTATACCTACTAAAGGATATGTTGGTTGCTTCCAAGTTTTGGCAGTTATGAATAAGCTTCTGTAAACATTCATGTACAGGTTTTTTCATGGAAGTGAAACCAAATTTATATGCCTGCAAGGTCCATCTGAAAGCAGTGTGGTCCTTTAAAAGGAGTGGAGGCAGAACTAGAGGAAGAGAAATTGGTTATGAAGCTAGAAATGAAAAGGACCCTGGCATAGACCCTTTTCAGGGCCTGTGGGGATGGAGAAGAGAGAGATTCAAGAGGTACTTAGAAGCCAAAATGAGAAAGCTTTGTTTGAAAGTGTGATGAGGAAGTTAGCATTAACCCCCATTTGGGGATATTTGGAAATGTGCGAGGGATAGTTTTGGTATTGTTAGAATGACAGGGTTTCTTTAGGATTAGGGGGCTGCTCAGGGACCTGCAGTGTGTAGGACTCTTCCTCACAATGAAAAATTGTGTTTCACTGAGATAACTGTAGGTTATCACTGTAGGGTGATAACATTCATTGAAAGAGCAGGAAATGGTAGATCTGTAGAAGTAAGATACTGAGTTGAGTTTGAGTCCTTTTGAATTTGAATTGTTTGTGGATATCCAGTTGACGATATCCTTAGGCAGTTAGATGTAAGAATCAAGAATATATATAGAGAAGTTTCAGATTTTAGGACTTGTTAGAGATGGTTGAGTGTAAAACTTGAAAGAAGGTAAAGGTTTGAAAAATCTGAGAGAAGTAGAAGTGGTTATTACTGACATTCATTGTTATAGAACATCAACATTTAATGGATGAATGGAGGAAGAGGAGAAGTAAAAGAAAGCCAGAAAGGACAGAGGAAAATCAGTACAGTGATACTGTTAAAGCTAAAAGAAGGGACAGTTCCATCCAGGAGATGTGCTTAATTTTGTGAAATATGGCAGAGAGCCAAGTAAATTAAGGACATTAAGGTTTATCTGGCAACCAGAAGGGCTTGGTGACCCCTCAGAGATTACTTTCAGTGGGGTAAGTGACGAAGATGAACATTAATTTATAGAATTAAAGTGTCGGGGGGGTAAAGAAATTGGACAATGAATGTAAATTACAAAAAGTTCTCTTTTACAACCTGAACTTGCAAACATCATGCATATATACTACTCTTGTAAGATTCTTGGATTGGTATATCAGCTGAGAAATGGGCATTTATAGGTGTTTCATGGTTTACAATTATTTGAATATTTCATTGTTTCTCATTCTTATTTTCTAAAAATTAAAAAAAAATGCTAACACAGTGATAAGCTTAGTTTTCATAAATTTAATGCATTTGAAGTGAAGGATATCATTAAGCATGCTAATAACAGCAAATCCTACTAGACAGGCTAATGACAGCAATTTTACTGCACGTTATCTCTATGCTTTGATTTGTATGCTCTATTTTTAATTGGTAAGGAAAATAATAAAGAACCTGAAGGAAATATTTGGTGTAGAGCTTTGAAGATTGCAAAGATTAAAAAGGATTTGTGATTAGGGACTGAGGTCCTGTTTCTAGTTCTCATAAAACATGGGGATCTGAACTTGACTTTCAGACATGTTTTTGTGAACACATTAAAAATAAAAGTAGAAGACTCCATGTACTGTTCCAAAATGATCTGTGAAGGGAAGGAGAAAGAGGGTAGTTAGTAAGAGGGTGGAGAGATATAAGAAAGAAAGATTTTTTTTTAAAGATAGTTGATAACTTGAGTGTGTTCGTTTGTGGAGGGGGAAGCCAGAAGCCAGGGCAAAGTTGAGGATACAAGGAGAGAAGAAAACTAATCCGTAAACTAAAAGGCAGGATGGCATATTGGATCCAGAGTAATGGTGTTAGGGGCTTAACCTTGGATAGGAGGAAAAAAGAGGCACCTTTTCCATTGAGTTTGAGGGAAGACATAATGATGGATTTGGAGGTGAGTATGTATTTGTAAATAGAACCTTACGTAGGAAGCTTGTTCATTCAGCAGTTTCTGAGCGCCTGCTGTGTGTTTCAGTGCTAGTCTGGGGATATGTAGTCCCTCTCCTTGAAGAGCTTAGGATCTAGTGAGGATGGGAGATTTTTTGCCTTATGTTCTGTTATGTTTTTCTTTCAGGTAGGATGTGAGCCTGTTTTTGGAGTCTTAGTCTCTCATGATTCTTCAGATTATTCAGAGTAGTTTGGAGTTCATATCAAAAGAACTTTTAAGTTACTTGGGATGGAATTTTTCCTGACCTGGAAATGTAAATTTACTCATAAAACTTGACATAACTACTTCAGTTCCTCTTTTAAGACAGATACATATTTTGTCATGCGGTAATACTGCTTTACCCTTCTCTGCTCCAGTTAAATAGTCATTTATATCCTTTTCATCAAACTTTTAAAAAGACAGATCTTAGTTTATTTTAATTTAAAATTTTTAATCAGTGTTCTTAATGGTCTCCTTGAGGTGAGACCATGATCAGTCAGCCAACAACTTGGAGTGTAAGATTAATTAGGATTGTGGATAGCAACTCTTTGCATTACAGCATATACATGTACTTTGGTGGTTGTCATCTGGGGGCAGTTTTGCATCCCAGGGGACCTTTGGCAATATGTGGAGATATTTTTGGTTGTCACCATTGGGGATAGGAAACTGCTCCTGGCATCTAGTGGGTAGAGGCCAGGGATACTGCTAATGCTGTAATGCGTAAGACAGCCTCCCGCAACAAAAATGATCTGGTCCAAAATGTCAAAAGGGCTGAGGTCTGCTGTACATTAACGTTTCAATACTTATGATGTAGTCAAACATGCTTACCTACATTATCTCATTTAAACTTCAGAAACCCCTAATGAGGTAAGTGATAACGCTTCTTGCCCTGAAGGAACCATGCGTTGGTGATGGAATCAGGATATAAAGCTTGGACTTAACTCTATAGGAAATTTTTATTATGTAAGTATTCAGGACACAAGCCTTTTTTTTTTTTTTTTTAATTAAGGCTATCTTTGTCTTACTTGGTGTTTTTTTTCAGGGACAAATATTCCTGGCATTTGAAGTACATAATTTATTTTTAATATTACAGATCTAGAAATGGCCATTGCCTACTGGAATTTAGTGCTTAATGGAAGATTTAAATTCTTAGACTTATGGAATAAATTTTTGTTGGTAAGTTCATGTTTTCTGCGGTTTGGTGTTTTCTAAATTTTTGCTTTGTTTGAAGATAAATTAACATTTTAAAGGATGCCTAACTCATTTCAGAACATGTAATGGATGTAGAATAAGAAATTTGATTTCCAGAATTTTATTACATAGGTTGTTTTGCATTCTTGTACTCAGCATCTTCTGGACTGTTTTTTTGAAACTCTTTTTAGTGAATTGGATGCTTCTTGTTACTTTTTTTTTCTTAATAGGAACATCATAAACGATCAATACCAAAAGATACTTGGAATCTTCTTTTAGACTTCAGTACAATGATTGCAGATGACATGTCTAATTATGATGAAGAAGGTAATGAACATTTTGCTCTACCAATTCTTTAAAAATATCTTTAATCATATACCCTGGAACTTCTCATCTACTTCTATTTTTCTTGGATTTCCCTCTTCTGAGCTTTTATTTGTGCTCTTCTGAATGTAGAAAATGCCTTCATCTTCTTTTACCAATCTGTATTGTTTCCTTAAATACCAGCTCTGTATTCATGTCTTCCAGAAAGGCATGAGTAATTTTCATTCATGTTTTAGATTTTCAGTCTACTTTAGGAACTTATTCTTTTCTTAATGTACTTTTATAGTACTTGAATTTATTTTTTTATTGTCTGTTTTTGTCTGTGAACTTGATTGTAAACTCCTTGAGTTTTGTGACTTAGGCCACATGGAAATGGACTTTATTTTCCTACTGTAGTACTATTGGCATTCAGTAAATATTCACTGATTGAATACTTTTCTGCTGTTTCTTCATGTATATAGAAAGGTACCTCTACCATCTACTATCAGGATATTTTTGTTTTCTGGAACTGGTAGTAGTTTACATTGATTTCTTCACACATACTTACCTAATTCCCCTTGAGAATTAGCAAGATATATTTTGATATCTTTGAATAGACAGGTATTCTTTGAAAAATCTTTAATAACCTTGGTCTCCTTAAAAGTGTTCTGGAACTATTTAACCTAACCACAGATAATGTTATTTCATCTTTGTTTTCATTGTCATGTATTGTTTTCTTTAAGAATTGAGAAATGACTGATAATTGATGATTGTGCTTTCTGTTAGGCTTTATGCAAAAGTGGAGAACTTGCTGATTTGGAAGTTACCATAGAAGCATGTATAGAGGCATGCATATATGTAATTTAAGATCCTTTAGTAATTTATTATCATGAAATAGGTTAGTGTCTGATCCTTGCTTTTAATTTCTTTTGTAAGATTGCCCTAAAATGCAGAAAAAGGTTAATTTCAACCTAATATGCTTTCAGCACTGGCAATATGTCATCATATCAAGGCTGGATTTGACCAGATTACTTCAGTGGCCTTCAGAAAACCATATATTACTAATTACCAGGAGAGTTATTTTTTATCATTCAGAAATGATCAAGTGTTGGAATAATAGAAAAGAGAAAATGCAAGGAATATTCTAGGTAGAAACTCTATAAAGAACTAGAAATTTGGAGGTCTTACCAGTGGGGATATTTATAATGATATACTTTAACAATTATGGGGAAGATAATAAAAAAAGGATTCTATTAAAATACTAGCCTTATTTCTGCTTTTGTTTCTTTCCTTTCTCACATATCCCCCCCACAGGAGCATGGCCTGTTCTTATTGATGACTTTGTGGAATTTGCACGCCCTCAAATTGCTGGGACAAAAAGTACAACAGTGTAGCACTGAAGGAACCTTCTAGAATGTACATAGTCTGTACAATAAATACAACGGAAAATTGCACAGTCAATTTCTGCTGGCTGGACTGAACTGAAGATCAATCCTCACAATTCAGACTGAGGGTTGTTGAGACAAAACTTTAAGGATACATCTTGGACCATATCATATTTCATTCTTCTAATGGTGGTTTGGGCTTGTCTTCTAGTCTGGGCCGCTCTAAACATTTATTATTCCAACATTGTGGATTTCATCTTATATCTGTGGACCACCCTAGTTTATTCTCCCATAAGTCTTAGAAGCTTTATGGTGATTATTTTGAAGTTTCCATTCTTGCATAAAGCACAATGCTGTCTTCATCAGAAAACAAGTTTGGCATAAGAATTAAACATATGAACATCACAGTTTATAAAAACTTCTTAAATATATGCTTTGGGCTAGTTGCAAAGACTATGCTGATAGCACTTCCAGTGAGAGTGAAATATTTAAGTGTACCAGATCTGGAATGGTGTTTTGGTATGGGGGGATTTTTTTTTTTTTCTGGCAAATTACATGTATTGTTAATGTGAGTAGAGTATCTGATGAAAAAAAGTCAAAATAACCAACGTGAAAAATTTTTAGGATAACTTGGTGTGCCTACCCAAAATTTTGTGTTTTAGACCCTCGATTTCAAAAGGTTCCACAGAACTAGTCTGCACTTATCTTACCCATGTTATATATAGTTGTCTTACAGGGGCTTTTATTTAGAAAAACATCTGCATAATGTTAGATTCTACTCCCGTCTACATTATGCACCTCATAATTGGATTTCATTATGATTTTGAAATGCTTATATGCCTGTTGAGTAAGTTAAACTATTTAATTTGTTTGAATGTTTTAGATTGCTACATAATACAATATTCTAAATTTAGGCATGAGGGTTTTTTTTTTTGTCAGCACACTATGGAACACAAATGAAATTCTCTTAATTTATAAGAAGATAGTAGGAATTAAATTTTGAAAATGGTTGTAATGAGCCATGAAGTTCAATTCTTATAGGTACTGCTCTTTCAGAAAAATAGTCCATTTTTGATGACTTCTTATTTTGTTGAAAGTGTTTTAACTGCTAATCACTGTGGTTGCCAAATACTTGAGGAGCAAAGATTTTCAAGCAAGCATGCACTTGATGCAAAATACAAATCTGGCTTCTATTTTCATAAATTATTTAGTTTCTACTATGTTTTATTTCACTCAGCTCAGTTTTCACATCAAAGCAGACCTGTATCTTGTGTCTATTTTTTTTATTATGAGACCCGTGAACTGCTTTCATGCTGAAAATGCTCATTTCTCTGTTCACTTCTTGACACGTGAAGAAGGGTTTATTGCTTTTTTAAACACTTCTTTAAGGCTGGTTTAAAAAATGTAAAACTTCAGAGATTGGATGACTGGTTTTTAGCAGGAGTAGATTTTGCTTGGTGTATCCAGGCACTCTGTAAGGTCTGATGTTGAAATTATCAAAGGAATGTACTTCAGGAAAGCAGTACATTATAATGGAGATGCGGAAATGATTTAAAAAAACTGATATATTAAAGCTACTTTTTATTTACATGATTTTGAAATTGACTAGAAAGCTCTTCCCATAGATATTAACATTCTAATCATAACTTTAATTAAAAAATATTCTATCAAAAAAATTTTTGAAAATTTCTATTTAGTTTACTGGAATTGGTTATTTAAAAAGAAAAAAGAAGAATCCTGCTGCTCTCAGTATTTCCTGATTTCATATTTGTAAATATTAAGAGGAACTTCAATTATGAAATATTTTAATAAGATATATATATATGTACTATTTTGTTTCCTGTCTTAAAGATTTTGAGTTACGGTATTGTTTTTGAATTGATTAATTCCAGTACGCTGTGTTTGGAAATGAGATCCGATTAGCTTTTTTCCCCCAATATAAATTGTTTTTCATAAAAGTCTGATATTGGTTCGTGGCCTAGTGCCTTGGGTTCTACAGACTTTTCCTTTTAAATGCAAGACCTTTTCAACAAAATAGTGTTTGTCATCAGTTTGGTACTAAACATTTATAATTACTGTGTAATTATAAACAAAACAATACATAAAGCTTTGAATATAATTATGTAGCATAAAAGTTAAGGTTGTTAACTCTATGATGGCATCTTAGAATTAAACAATACTATTACTAGGGCCTGAAAGAGAAGACTGATTTAATGTGGTGTGATTTTTCTGAGGATAAATGTCTGGTTACAGGGAATATTTTGTACTAAGAATGCTTACATATAATGGCCGTGTGTGTGAGTGTGTGTGAGAGTGAGACTGACAGGTTGAAAGGGACACACATGCTCACACACACACACAGCTTGAACTGCTTTCATTAATTAGTGTTTCAGTCTTCATTTTGGTTAACTCCCCATGCTGATTCTTCGTTTTAAACTGAACCACAGGTACAGTTTCCTTTTTGCCAAATGTCAAAACAGGTACACATTTTAAAATGTAATGCTTTTTAAATAGTAAAGTGTATAAAATTAGAAGTGCCCACATATAAAAATACTTGAGATCAAGGTTATCTTTAGTGACTATCATCTGCATATCTCTGTAAGTTCAATTGTGTTTCTTACATCCCTGTCATATTACCAACAGAGGCAATAAAAGCTTCAGTGAAATTGCCATGACTAAATCTTTTCACATATTATTTCAGTGTAATACTTTTAAAGACTAAAATATACCGGAAAACTTTTCTAGAAAGGATAATTATTTATGGAAAGAGCATTGTAATGGCAAGTTTTTGGGAGAAAAGACATGCCAAGTCTTGTTTACTATATTTAAAATGTTTACAACTATACTGGGCTGCTTTATTTAATTAACAGTACTGTAGTTGTGTAATATGGCTTTGTAAGTATATGTTCTTCATTAGACTTTTAAAAAGTTTTAATGAGTGAAAGAGAGTTAATAAAATAACATGGGAAATCTTTTATATAATACCCTTACTGGGAAATTCTTATTTAAGCAAGGTATACTATTTTTTTTTTCCTCAGAAAGATTTAAGTGAATGAAGTGTTCATCTATTTTTTATTTGATGATAATCAAGAGGTTTGAGTAGTTGTAGCCAGTTTAACGTGCACTTTGCTTAGATTTTTTAAAACATGTTACTATGAAGACTACATATTGTAAACCTGTAACTTTTACATATGAATGACAGAAGAAAGTTAAACCTAATGAAAGAATTTTGGAATAAAGGAAAGTGGTGCTGGGGAAATTTATTATAGTTCACAAAGTATGCCTTTGTAAACCTGAATCAACTTTTAGCAAGAATTAATTTATGGAGTTCTAAATGTTAAATTGTATATATTTAATAGAAAATACTTATTTGACACCTCAGCAGTTTTCTTTAAATGTTACTTTATACTTTTAACAACATGATTTATATTGCATACATAGATGTTTTGATAAGATTTTATCAAATTTGATAATGTAATGATAAAATGTTTTTAAAATGTGAACTATTTAACATTTATCTTAATAACTGAGGACACAATACCGGATTTGTGATTTCTACATAATGTGATAATTAGGGTTCAAATTATGGTTCATCATTTAATTGATTATAAACAAGTATATTTCTGAACTCTTTACTTGCCTCCATTTTTACAGTCATATAGCAATAATTTCTATTTTTATTTTATAGAAATGTGGTGAAGTTCTGATACCTTTACCTTTGATTTCAGAAGGGGAAGTGGTTTATATTTTGTAGTTTTACATTTGAAAATTCTTAATAGTACAGATCCCCTTTTCCAGGTTTACCCTTACTCTTTGTCGCCATTTTGGTTGAATATTTGCTTGATCTGTATTTGATTCTGGAGGCGGATAGTTCTGTTTTTTTTTTTTTTAAACTCATAATACAGTTACATAAATGGTTTTAACAGAGCATTCTTGCTATCTATTTTCTTTACTGCCTGTTGGGTACTTGGCATTTCTTGCTGACAAACTCATTTATTTGACAATTTTCCACTAGGCTCAGTGTTTTGTGTTAATGTGGCTTTTGACTTCTCTTTCTTTGGTCTTTTTTTAATCTGCCATAAATAAGGAAATTATGATTTTTAAAAAGTGCACAGCTGTTGTAGTAGATGGAATTCCTAAAAAGTAATGTCTTTATGGAGTTTTAAAGACAGATATTTGGGGAATCATTTTATAATTATATTTTAAAAATTGTGTTTCTAAAACTTTTTTAATCTAAGCATAACCAAGTTTTTCTTAAAAGTATTTCTTATTTTCAGCTTATCTTTTGCATTTGTGCTGTGCAGAAATCAGTGTAGCTTGTAACTTAGAGCATTGTTTTTCAAGAAACACCTTGAGGCTGCTGTATATCATGAGGTCGGAAGCTTTCTACTTTATCTCTTGTATGTTATTGGCATTTCACATGAGATTTGGTCTGGGGGAAAATGTTTGGTTAAAAGATGTTTTTCTTTTTTTAATAACTGGCTTAGAGGGAACATTTTTCAGTGGACTAGGAAGAGATGGAGTCAGATTGAAATTAAAGCAGGCTTGATTATGGAAAGCAGCACTGCTTTGAAAAGAAGAATCCATCACATGAGGTTAAAGTGAACAATAGTTTAGAACCAAAAATAGTAAAAACAAAGCTTGATTTAAAACAGTGAAAAAGTTTGGAAACATAGAGGCAACATGTGAATGGCTTAATGAGCAAAGCAAAGGGAAAAAAAACGGATAATATTCATTTTATATTTAGTATATATATTTAGGCACACATATAATTATTAAAATTTTATTTCAGGTTATGAAATATTTTAAGAAAACTCTGGATCTAATGGAAAACTTGGTCAATGCCAAATGAGATTTTTACAAAAAGGAGTACTGTAGGGTATAAGCTTAGTGGCTAAGGAGAAATGCTAAGGTAAGCTCTAGACAGTGCTTTGTCATGTAGTTACATTACACAGAGGTTAAAAGAGCAATATTTGATCAGTAAGATTTGGAGATGTGTGTACATGAAA